GGGGGGTTGCGGGCGGGCGGGGTCGCTCCGGTCCCCGCCTGCCCGGGTTACCGGGAAGGGTCGGACCCCCGCTGCCTGTTTCTCTTCATGAAATCTTATAAATTCTCGTCAAACGCGTGGTTTGTGCGTGGGCGAGGGGCCGGGCCGTAACCCCGCCGTGTGTTACAGGGCGAACGTGACGGTCACCGACCTTGAGGAGCTGCAGGAGCTGCTGCTGGTTAATATAGAGAACAACAGACATCTGGTCACAGGGTCAGTCCGAGCCAAGGTACTGAAATGGTTTGTATGAGCCTTTAATGTTTCTGTTCGGCTTTAACGGGGCTCCGGCTAAATGCTAAATGGCCACATAAACTGGGAAACGCTGCGGTGAAAGGGAACTTCGGTGTAAGAACGGAGCCATCAGCTTCGTGCTCAGTCCTTTGGTCGTCGGCGTCGTGTTATTGCCGAAGCTTGTTTTCACCTGTTTCTTGCTTCTTTTCAGGGGTGAAGATGTAGCAGAATTTCTGCCTCCCCCCGATTACATCCTAATGGCCGATTGCATTTACTATGAGGAGGTAAACGAGGGCTTTGCCGAACCCCTACAGAAAGTTTCCGTGGGAAGGGTGTGGGTTCAGTGGGAGAAGTGTTCAAATGAACACTGTGCTTGTATTGAGGTCCCCAGGGTTTGGAGGAATGCATAGAACGAGACTGGAAGAGGCACTTCTAGCAGATTGAAAGCCATATGATGTTCAACCAGAGACTTTATGTTTAAAAAAAACAACCCAAGCTTAACATTTGTGCTTCTCCCCCCCCCCCCCTTTTTTTTTTACATTGGGCGTGAAGTGTGAAGCAAAACATTGTGACTGATAGTTGTGAACTGTTTAATGCACTGGTAAATGAAATTTAGTAGTGCTACATCTGCACTGTTTGGGTTCTCCTCACGCTTCCCTTGAGAAGGCAAAAGGAGAAATTGTGCTGCAGCCGAGTGGTTGCTGTAGTCTGCCCCATCTCCTCAGCTGGAGCTCTGTAGGATGTACACATCTCTTGGTCGAAGAGAGCTAAGAAGAGTTGCAAGAAAAAGGAAATGACCTGAGGAACCCCTTATCCCAGTGCCCTTTCAGTGGTCTTACCAGCCCCTTTGCGTTGGCTCCCTGCACGTTGGTCCTGTTCCCATACATAGTGTTTTGGATCTGAGCCATGTTCCAAAAAGGGTTGAGAAAACTCTCACTTTTGAAACATGTCAAGAAATAGTCATTGTTGCGTGCCTTGAGGAAATGCCTCTCAGCACTGTGGGATGTTTTGGGTTTTGATGCTAGTTCAGTTTTGTTGGTCAGTCTGTGAAACTCTTCTCCTATGCAGTCTCCCTTTTTTCTCTGCTTTCCAGCTTGGCCCCCATGTTCTTTTTGTCCTAGATAAGGTACTAAAAATAACTCACTTAAAAGCAAAACTGGAAACTTCTCTCTTGGGTGAAGACTTTCTCTAGTTAGAGGGTATCGTACCAGTAAAATGAACTTGAAATCTAAGTGGGAAATACTTAACATCTTTTGGGCAGTCATTAGAACCGCTCCTGAAGACACTGAAAGACCTTACTGGCCCTGATACGTGCATCTTATGCTGTTATGAACAGAGGACTATGGGAAAGAATCCTGAAATTGAGAGAAAATACTTTGAGGTAAGTGTTTTTAACGTGTGCTTTTTGAACACTAGGAAAATAGTGTGGATACAGGAGGTCTTTGTATTGGATCAGCCAAACATCAATGGCAGTTGCTATACTTACAAATTCAGGTTGACTGTGCAAAGTAGAGTTTGTAGCAGGAGAAGCATGTTTGTCTTTAGATGGGGCAGAAAATTTGGATGGTGACTTGAAGTTACTGTCCAACTTAGCAGTAGAGACTTTCTGAGCTTTCCTTCCCTCAAAAAAAGTCAAACTAACCTTTCCTGTTAAAAGCCTCTGGGGGTTTTGATGCCTTCCACATCTGCAAAAGGGCCACCATACACAAGGCAGTATCTGTTAAAATCAAAACAACCATTTTTGTAGGAGCAAGTGAATTAGCAGTCGGTCGCTGCCTTCTTTCTGCAGGGGATGTCTTGATGTCACCAGAGGTTATTGGGAGGATTAAAAATTAGTCTGGTGAACATGTATTTTCTTTTAGCATGTTCCATCGAAAGCACAGGGAAAACACAAGTAAAGTTTTCCAGAGTAGCTCAGGAGCTCAAGTCTCTCTGCTAAGTGATGTAGTTGCCTCTGCAAAAATTCCCCCCTCTGCTGAGAGCGCATTGATAAGTGATATAATTTAATAGTCCAGCTTTATCTTCTGAGCAGGTAAAGACAAGGAATGCGAGTAACAGCTGAATCCCTCCTGAGGCTGTGGGGATGACGGTCAGTGCAGGATTTGACTCTGCACCTGTGAAGTCTGCTGAAAAGCAGCCCTTGTGCAGGAGTAGTGGATTATACATAATAACAATAATACTACAAAAAAGGGGAAGGGCAAGAATTCCGGGGCGATTTGTACGTGTTAATAAAAGCACCTCTTTGATAATTAGCCTTGTGGGGACCTGACTGTGAGGAGGGTTGCTGTAATTGAGATCAGCTCTGATGAGGTGCCGCTCCCACAATAAACACAATAGGTGTAGGTGTTTCTGGATGATTTCTGCTTTCTTGTAATTTATTTCCTTCCTTAGCTTGCCAGGGTTCAGTCAAGTTAATCTTCTGAGCGTGCTGCGGAGTTGATGCTGGGGGTTTTTTTAGCCTTCCCCCCCCTCCCCCTCCAGTTGAGTAGGTTGGCAGACAGAGGCAGGTGCTGTGGTTTGGCTTAGCGCGTTGGAGATTGGAGGAAGCAAAATGTTTTATCACAAGCTTTTAGGATTTTTTTCTTAAACGTTGCAAGGTATCTGTAGCTTGGAATTGGCGCTGGAGTAGTTAAAACGAGGGCAAGTGTGCTGCACGGGGGGGGAAGAATGGCTTGTGTGTTTGTAGAGACCTTTAGTGGAACGGTCTGAGCGTGGTGGGTCCAGCCACCTGAGGCTCTTTGCCCTCGTGCAGTATGTTGTGGGACCTTTTTAACTGAATGTGCTTCGTTCAAAGGGCGGTTGGTGTCATTTTAATTGTTTTGTGTGTTCCCTGATAACCAGCTACTTCAGATGGACTTTGAGCTGGAAAAAATTCCCCTGGATAAGCACGATGAGGAGTATCGCAGCGAAGACATTCATATCGTGACTATCCACAGGAAGCAAACGGTAGGTTAATTTAACTGGCACAGCGAACGCTGCCAGGAATTCGCAGAGCTGCTGTTTACTTGGCATAGTGTGAGCGTTCCAGGGGTGAAGCTCTAAAATGACTGTGAAATACCATTAGGGACCCTGTGAAACTGTAGACCAGAACCGTGTTGTACAGAGGAGCTGCTTTGTCCTGAAACCCAGCGCTCTGCCAGGTGCCAGCCTTGGCCTTCAGCGGGACCATCTTTGAGCTGTGCGCTGGCTTTCTCTTCTGCTTCCCCCTCCGTAGTGCAGTGGGATCTCAAAACTGGAGTTTCGAGGCACCAAAGTAATAAAAATAATACGCCCGCTGCTGCTTTTTGTACTGTGTGCTCTGCTGTACAGCCCTCTCCCCAAAACCAGTCTCCAGAGGTGGTACTTAGCACCTCTCAGGGTTGGTTAGATCTTGTTTTGGTTAATTGATGGAGCAGACAGTTATGTGTGTAGAAAGTCTTTTGCTTATTGTGCTGACACAACGCATGGGTCCAGTGCCTCAACAAAAACAGGCCACTTAAAAAAAATCTGTACTTTCTTTTAAAAAAATCTCTTTGCAGAATTTTCCATCGTGAGATCTCTGACCACATTAACTGTCCTCTGGCAGCTGGTAGAACTCTGGAGAAGAGGGAGAAGGTATAGAATAACACCACAAAGGGACTGTCTCCAGTGTGGTTTGTGACTCATCTGCAGAAAACGGCTTCTCGATGGTGGACTTGGCATGAGGCACCAGAAGAAGTGGGCTCGTTAGACTAGATCCACTGATAGCGCCTTCCAAGAGGACAGATGTGAGCTGTTGATGTCTGCAGGCTGAGGCAGAGGAAGGCAGAAAATGGAACCAGCGCTTCACCAAGAGCAGTGCCGGGTGCATGTTCTGGTTACCTCTGCTGGGCAGCTGCTGGTTGGAGCAGCGGGTGACTCTCCGAGCGCTTGGAGCAGGTCCGAGGGCACCGCGCCGAAGGCTGTGTGAGGGGATAACTCTGCGAGTGGGCTCCATCACACTGCCCCTGGTCAATAAAACTTTTGCTCTTGAGCTGGGTCTTGGATGGTGGGTTGTTTTGGGTTGGTTTTTTTTTTTCAGCCTGTGGTTTCTGTGTCACTCCTGCATTGCAGAGATCCTGGGAGTCTTGTTGCAGGCTGTTGTGGTGGGAGGTGCACGGGCAGAGCACACAGATGGTCCTTGCGCCTGCGCAAAGTTATTCTTTTTAATTCCACCTGCCCTTTTCTTAGTATGAGGGTCTGAAGTTTGACACCTTCAGACAATTCTGGTGAGCAGGTACATTGTTGCTGTTGGTGACCCTCACCAAGCTGCCCCTCGTCGCGCAGTGATGGCTTTGAGGTTTAATTTCAAAGGAAATGGCTTCTGCTCTGTAGTGGAAGCGGCCATGGCTGCCTGTGCTGTCCCACAGCCCTAAGCGCACGCTCTGAAAGTAGGTCTGCTGCGACAGAGGCGCTGCTCAACGTGAATGACAGCAGCATGTTCCCTGAGCCCCTCCGTGTTCGTGCTGCGCCCAGCACGAGCGGTCCCTACTTCAGAAACCTGAATATTTAAGCTAAATCTGCTGTTTTTTCTCAAAACCTCGGCTGTTGGTTTTGGAGGAACTTTGTTCACAGATCCCCGGGTGTTTTTGGGACCTGCCCTGAGCTCAGGCTCCCTTTATCTCCAGGAAGAGTGTTCCTTGCGAACTTCACACTCCGTAAAACGCTGCCCTGGCTTGCAAAGCACAACAGCGATGATTAGCGAATGCACGGCAAAGCGAGAAGGTAATTTGTCGTAACCGCACGAATTATTTGTTAGCTTGTTATGAAAAGAGCTCCTTAATTAACCGTTGGCCTGCAGGAAGATATTTACTGGTGTGTTTACGCCAGCGTGACTTCCCTGGTGGAAACTGCTGTGCGGAGGAGTTGTCCGAAGGTGCGCTGTAAGGACAGTGTGGCAGCTGGGTCATTTTCTGGTGGCATCTTTGCTGGTCAGCCTCTTTGCTGACCTCAGACCCTAGGGAGGGGGGAGCAGCGTTTCTTAGGGGTTTGGTGCTGATGGAGTAATTGTATTCTATCTACAGAAGCATGCAATTTTGGCACTTCCTTTTATATACGTCCTCATATCTCTGTCAGAAGAAAAAAGGGAGGAAGTTGTGCTTTTCTCTTCCCCACGCGCAGCCGCCGGCTGCTCCTCCAGTCCTCAACTTCGTCTGTAATGCT